TACTTCCTTTCAGCTGAAAGATATTTTGTATTAAATGACAGGCATGATAATGAAACATCTGAGTAATTGGTACTCATGTACCATTGAGATTGGCCCCCATATATTTATATGGAAAAATGAGCAGTAACACTTGAACTAAAGCAGTGAGAGGAGTATCTGCTTCAGAAAACAAAGTCACCATTCACATCAGGAATCGGTGTGTAATTGGGTGAATCCTTGTGGAAACCCCACTTCAGACCGCTGACCTTAGACGACTAATTAACTGATAAATCTCACAAAGGTCAACCGTGTCCCGACCAAGGATGAAGAGCCACCATATGGCTAAAGATGCTAGTAGTGTGTCTTCACTGCTCTTTTAATCTTTTGAGCCAATTGTACCCCCCCTTCTACTCCTGGTGACGGTGGCCGAGGCCCCCGCCAGACAAAATGTGGTCAAACTCTAATCTACTTAACTGCTTTCCACTTTGTTTTTCCAATTATGGTGAGGATCTGTTTGTTGAAGGTCTGAAACATACTGACATCAACATTAATTATACTTCACAAGCATAAAACGTCTATTTCGATTTAAGTGAGCATGAAACGGATGAAGATGACAGATGTGTAAATCTGTGACGAATTAGATGTAGAATAATTTATATTAACTATTTATGTAATAAAAAAATACAAGGGCTGTAATTATTAATCAAATTAATTGTGATTAATCGATCGACAAATCTGTAGAATGTCATTTTTAAATCCGATTAATTGACCAATCATATATATTAATTACTAACATAATTTTTGGCTGGTTTTGCTGGATTTATTTCCTATTTTTCGAAGACAAAGATTTCCAGAGACGGTTCTCTGATGATATCTCCATTGTCCTCCATGTTTTTTTGAAGAACATGTCGCACTATGCTGTGTGGTCATGATTAATCATCTCAGCCCTGACCCTATCCAACTTCCTTTCAGCTAAAATGGATGATTTGGTTCTGTTTTTAGATGCTAGCATGATAGTGGAAACATCTGAGTAACTTGTACTCATGTACTGTCGATTATTTTAATGTATTCATCACGATTAATCATTTCAGTCCAACATTATTCAATGTTATTTCAAACATATATAGTGTATGTTTTATTTTGCTAGCTTGGTATTGTTAGGGGCCCCCTGATGGTGTTGGAGCTCTAAGCAGCTGGTGAACTTGCATATTCCTTGGGCCGGCTCTGGCTCTTAATCAACTCCAAACTTCATTATTCCCTCTGTGACCAGGTCGGAGGGGAAAAAGTGGAGGAAACATGAGTTAATAGGCAGCTCCTCTGCAAACACTGGGGGTCTTCATAAATGGGAAGCAATCACACAGTTCAAATATACAGCAGCTGGAATCTGGGACAAATTGAAGAGGCAGGTAAGTTTAATAATCTCCTGTGATCGTCCTGGTCGAATGCAGACAGAGAGGCGAAGCGTCGACTGATGAGGACACGAGGAGCGCTGGTCTAAAGTTACAGGTCCTGCAGCTTCAGGAATCCTCAGAAAGATCCGTGTCTGAGCGGCACCATCGTTCTGCCAATGTGACTGATTGACCCAGTAGATGAACAGTAAAGATTAAGAGGATGACAAACAGGCATGCTGCTTACACAGCACTTGGGGCTTAATCCTCCACCCCTCCACCCCTCGGGTCCCTTTTGAGGACCTGCTGCTGAGGCGGACTCACAGACGGCGGCGGCGTTCCAAGCAGGGAGGACACACGGACTTGTTGATGCTCAACAAGGGGCCACTCTAGATCCTCTGACTCCACACCGCTTCAAACAAGGCCCAGAAATTTAGGAAGTCTGCATTTTTATATCTTAAAGTAAAAAAAGAGAAACACTTCTTTATTGGTGATTAATTATGGAGGATCACCTGACGAAGATCCCCATGATGCCTTCAGCTTCTCCAGCTGAATCTTCTGCCAGCGGCGGGACGGAGGACAGCAGAGGAGGTACGAAGGCCACAAGTCAGCGGCAAAAACTAAATATTTTTTATTTATACTGCAAACATCTTAGAACACTTGAAATAAGACTAAACTAACTTATAAGTAACTTTTCAGCAAGACATAGGAGCTTGCTTTAAGTGAGTAATTCCTTAATACTGATGAAAAAGTTTTAGTTATAAATGAAATAATCTGCAGCGGAACAAAATATTTCCCCCATATTATAAGTTATAATGTGGCAGATTATTTAGCTTATTTTCATCTATAATAAGGAATTATTGACTTAAAATAAGCTCATATTTTTTGAAGAAAAGTTACTAGTAAGTTTTCTACACCCAGCATCATTTGTTTTCAAATATTTATCTTGGCCTTATTGCCAATATTGAATAAAATATTGAAACTTTAAATATTGAAAATAAACAATAGTTTGTCATTAAAAAAATTTCACATCTAAAACAAAACTAAATTAATCATTATTTTATAGGTTTATCAATAATAATAATTCATCAAAGCAAAGATGATACAATAAAGTGTTTAAGACAAACTTTTTATAAAAATTCAACTCTCTTTCATTTGCATCAAACATTAACTTATGAAAATTGTATATTTAAACAATTATTAAAGACACAGAGAAGCATGGAGAAAGATTACTGCAAAAAAACAGAAAGAATTTTTAAATGTCTGATAGAAAATATGTGTGTTTAAGTCAACGATGACAGATGACACACAAACTTTTTATCTATCTGTTGGTGCAGATGGTAGGCTTGTGTGTGAAACAATACCCAGTCTGCGGATGAATGGCACCATAACGGACCGGCGGCTTTGTGCGGTTTTGTTTTTGACTTGCAGCCAAGAGTCCAGCTCCAGGAAAAGCTCTGAGTCCGGCGCTGGTGTGCAAAGTGTGCGGCGACACCAGCAGCGGGAAACATTACGGCATCTACGCCTGCAACGGCTGCAGCGGCTTCTTCAAGCGCAGCGTGAGGAGGAGGCTCATCTACAGGCAAGAACGGATCAGAGACGGTTTCTGTGAAATAGAGCTGCTGAATGATGGGAAAACAAGGCAAATTATCCAACAAGTCGTATCAGATTTACAATTTTACAGCAGAAAACTCATAAAGTCAAAGAAATTTGCACTAAACGTGTGACAGGTTAGAAGAAATTTATAAAATTCAGAAAACTTTCAACATTCTGTTAAAAAGTCTAATTAGAAAAAAACTAAAATTTGCTTTAATCTAATTAAAGTCACACTTTGTGCATTTTCAGTCAATTTTAAAAATAAAAAACATTTTATTGTATTTCTGACACTTCAATTAGTACAACTACAGTTGTTTTTATTCATTTTATTAAGTTGATTGAGAAAAAAAATATCATTTTCAAGAACCTTTACAGAAAATATTGTGAAATGGTATAATTTTACGTTAATTTATAAATTGTGGATTTATGATCTTCTTAAATATAAATTATTTAGACTTTTCATTGACTCCTCAGTGGCACCTCCAAAGGGAGGGCAAGTGGGGGCCTTAGTATTTTTTTTAATTAACCTTTAAATGACTTAAAATATGAATATCTGTAAATAAGATACTGTCCTTTTATTTGTCTAGTTTATAAACATTTGTTTTGAATTTGGAGAAATTTATAGTCTTTACAGTAAATACAAGAAGATGTTGGATTTGTCACGTTTTCTACATAAATATATATATATATATATATATATATATATATATATATATATATATATATATATATATATATATGTAAAGCTTTTCTGGTCTTATTAATTTAAACTGAGTAGAAATGTCACTTTCTGCTGAAAAAGTTTAGGGCCACTGAAAAAAAAGACTTTAAACTCAGAATTCTGACTTTAGAATTTATAATTCTTTAGAATTTTAAAATCAGAATTCTGAATTCTAAAGAATTCTAATGCCAGAATTCTGAGATTAAAGTCTAATTTATTTATTTTTTCCAGTGGTCCTAATCTTTTTCCGCCCCTTTAGAGCTGTTTATTAATAAGTTATGAGGCTAGTGGGGGGATGAGAAACCATTGCCTCCCTTTTAAAAGCCTGACTGGGTCAACAGGTGCCAGGCCGGTACTGGGATGTGTCCTGTTGACAAAGCCCATCGGAACCAATGCCAGGCGTGTCGGCTAAAGAAGTGTCTGCAGGCGGGCATGAATAAGGATGGTACGTTCCCAGAAGCTTTAATAAAGGTGGGAAAACTGTAGTTTCTCCTAAAGTAACCGGATTCTGACCTGCAGCCGTGCAGAACGAGCGGCAGCCTCGCAGCACCGCTCAGGTCCGTCTGGACTCCATCGACGTCGACCCTGAGAAGGAGCACCTGGCCACAACACGGGAGCCCACCTCCTCCTCTTCGTCCTCCTCTTCGTCCTCCTCCTCAGCCTCCAGCGGCTCTGTCATCACTTGGCCCCACATCACCTCCTCCATGTCCATCAGTTCCTCTGTGGCGCCGCCGCGCTGCGTCAGCCCCCAGAACAACCACCGCTTCATGGCCAGCCTCATGACGGCCGAGACCTGCGCCAAGCTGGAGCCCGAGGACGGTGAGGAGGAAACTTTTCCCGGCAGAAACACTGACAAAGAGAAACACTTTACTGTAATATTACTGAAAAAACTTCTCTATTTTAATACTCAGTCTAATCTAAAATTAAGTAATGTTATTGATCAAGTAACGATGAACAATTTTCTTAAAAACTTGAGTTTTCTCTTGTCAAGAAGGCTGACTGTTTTTACGGAATGTGAAAGTCTAAATTTCTTTTTTGTAAGCTGCATCAAATACCGACTGACTTAGATCTGAAACGATTAATCGCCATGAATCAATTGCTCAAATCGTCAATCGTCAAATAGCAATCGAGCATCCAGTTCAAACTCACTGAAGAATGATATATTACTGCATTTCAGACAACAAAATGTTTATTTTCTTATTTGAAAAAGGAACTGCATTATTTATTTGCACCTTTTAATGCAGTAATTGTGATTATCCAATTTAAATGATCCTCAACTAATTTAGTGATCAATTAATTTTATGCACACTCATAAAAGACATTTTACTGAAGAATAACACAGTCCTATCCGTAATTAAGCCAAATGTATACTAAAATAAAAAACTTTTTTGTAAATATATTCTACAGTTACTAAATGAATGCTGTTATTGAATTTTAAGTAAATATGTTTATTTTCTTATTAAAAGATAACTAAATTATTTGTTTATTTTCATTTTTTAATGTATTGCTGATATTGCACACAAAGGCTGAAGTGATTAAGTGAAAAATATGCAGAATGTGGCCATTTTTCAACCACTGATCCTCAGAATAATCATGAGTTGCAGTCCTGAGTGAATAAATAGAAACTGTGGTTTTCGCGCCTTATTAAAGTCAGAGTGAACTAAAATCAACTGTGCTTATTCAGCGTCGTTATGTTTTTTTTTAATATAACATGTTAAAAAATGTTTTATCTGATCTGCTTTTCTGTCGTCATACCTTCATCTTTGTATCATCGCTCGGCTGAATGAAGCAATATTAAGGTGAAAATTTAAGGAGCTTGTCAAGTGTTTATACTTCAGAACATACCGGCGTAAAAATAAATTTTCATCCCACAGCGGACACTTTGGACCTTTTCTCTTTTAAGAAACGTGCCATCCACCATCTTAGTTTCTCTTTCAAATGGCTCCCCTTTAGGATGACCAGCAGCGCCCTCTGCTGGATGGAGGTCAAACTATAACACTAAAATAAGGGCTAAGCGTGCCTTATTAGTTAATCATTTGAAACTAATTTTAATCTAATAAACCATTAATGAACATTTAATCGAAAGACGATTAATTTATTTGGGTCTAAAGCTCCTCTGTCTGTTTTCAGTTGATGAAAACATTGACGTGACGAGCAACGAGCCGGAGAGGGCGTCCTCGGAGTACCACATGGCTCTGTACCCGTCCAGCTCCGAAAACGTCTACGAGACCTCGGCGAGGCTGCTCTTCATGTCGGTGAAATGGGCCAAGAACCTGCCAGTTTTCTCCAACCTGCCCTTCAGAGACCAGGTGAGATTCACACGGAAGGTTTTAAAAGCTTAATCAGAACGAGGTTGCTGGACTTTACAGCATAAACTGTAAATAAATTAAGGTTTCAAGTAGACTGGAAGAAAATCTACTTCTATAGGGCAAAACAGCACACAAAGACAAATATTATATATTTCAAATACTATTATTATTATTACTATTATTATTTAATTTAATTTATATAAAATAAATTTTTATTAGCCTATTGTTTGTTTGCTAAATATTTTAAAAAAGAAATTAAATATGAAATAAGTCATCCATATGTAATGTAAAGCATGTTTATGGCTATATTTAAAATACTAATGAAACTAATATTATTTAATTTATATAAAAACATATTTATTTTCAACATATTTATATTGTAATATATGTTATGTATTAATTTGATCAGCACATTTTTCCAAATAGGGAATAAAATATTTTTAAAGAATAATTTAGGGCTGCAACGACCGAACACTTTATTAATCAATTAATCTATCAGTTTTTCTAACAATTGATCAATTAATTGGATATAAATTTTGCACATTCTTCAGGTTTGTCTTTTTACCACCTAAGCCTTTTTAATAAAATATCATAAATACAATAAAATATGAAAAACAAACAAACAATTCAATTTCTCTTTAAAATATGAAAATATATATTTTCTTGCCCAAAATGCAATGAAATGTATATATTTTTGTATAGTTTTGACTGTGTTCTGTCAACAAAATTGCTTTTTTTAGTCTGTATTCTCCAGTAAACAATTATTCTATTACTGAATTAGCTGAAAATGATCTCATTAATCGATTAATCTCGATTAACCCGATTAATCGTTTCAGCCCTATAATAATCTAGTTGGGGTTTTTTTCTGGTTTTAATGACAATTTTTAACCTTTTAGAACTAATTAGTTTATTTTAATTCAATTAGAGTAAAAATAGAAGCTTGAATTTCCACACAACGCTACTTAATAGGCTTAAAATAATCAATAAGTGATCATTTTAATGATTATCTTCCTGTTTTAATTGGTCAGGTGATCCTGCTGGAGGAAGCGTGGAGCGAGCTGTTCCTGCTCTGCGCCATCCAGTGGTCTCTCCCTCTGGAGAGCTGCCCGCTGCTCTCCCTGCCTGACCTTTGCCCCGGCATGCAGGGCAAAACCAGCTACACCACCCTGGACCTGCGCCTCCTGCAGGAGGCCTTCAGCCGCTTCAAGGCCCTCGCTGTCGACCCCACAGAGTTCGCCTGCCTCAAGGCCATCGTGCTCTTCAAGCCAGGTCAGCGTCAAACCAAAACAGCCTTTCAGACGAAGAGTTGGTTGAAGCGTTAGTTCTTTAATAATGTGGTTTAACTGTGCAAACAGAGACTCGAGGTTTGAAGGATCCAGAACAGGTGGAGAACCTCCAGGATCAGTCCCAAGTCATGCTGGGACAACACATCCGCTCACACTACCCGACCCAACCTGCCAGGTAAAATCCTCACTATACTGATTTATAGGGCTGCAATGAGTATTTTGGTCATTGATTAATCTACCATTCTGACAATTAATCGATTAATTGATATAAACAACAAAAAAAGTCACATTCTGCAGATTTTCCATTTAACCACTTATAGAAATAAATTCCAAAAACACAAATAATAATTCAATTCCTTTTAAAAATAAGAAGATAAGCATTTTATTACCTAAAATTTAATTAATGTTTGATCATTTGTAGCAAAGGAAGCATCTGCAGCTAAAAAAAAATATTTTTAACATCAACATGAGAAAAGATCAGTGCTTTCTGCTAGATTTAACATCAATACAGTGTGTATCGGTTTATTATTTAATTAAGTGATTAATAATTTAATGCAAAAGGTGTTTTATAGGAGATTGTTTAAGCTAAAACTGCCATTTGAAATGTTCTGTGTAAAACATATTTAGAGAACATTTACATTTAAGTGTTTTTTTTATCTTATATGTAAGAAGTATATATTTTTGGTGGGTTTTGGCTAAATTGCTGCTCTTCATATGCTGTTCTTGTAGCAAACTGTCTTATTTTTTTAATCTGTGTACTTCAGTTAACAATTAATCTATTACCAAACTAGTTAACAATTATTTATATAATCGATTAATCATGATTAACTGTTTTGGCCCTGTATGTAGCTCTAAAATATATCACTTTTTAACAATAAAATGAAAGATATACACATACAAAACCACATTTTTTAAAAACAGGAAAGCCAAAAACCCAATGTGTTTAGATATTTTCAACAAAATACATTTACACTAATTTAGGTCTTTACACGTTATGGCCAATAGATGGCACCGAAACAGAAAATAAGTCCGTTTTATATTTGCCATTTTAATGTTCTGTAGCCTGAAATTTGGGCTTTATGTTATAAAGCCCAAATAAAGCCCAAATTTATGTATTTGGGCTTTATGTATTTGGATACGTTTTTCTTTCTTTTACAGCTTTTTAAAATAATCACAGTCTCAATAAAGTAAAAACATTAAATAAATTAGAATAAAATTAATTTAAATAAAATAAATAAATATAAATTAGTAAAAATATGAGTAGTAAAAATTACATGAATAAAAGTGACTTAAGTATATAATTAACATGAAATAAAATTATTATTTTAGAGGTTTTGTGACCTTGTAGTTGGTATTTTATTATGATTTGGTTTGTGTTTCCCTTTGATGCTGAATTTTTTATGATTTGTTGACTGTGTTCAGGTTCGGAAAGCTGCTTCTCATCCTTCCCTCGCTGCGTTTCGTGAACTCGGAGCGGATAGAGCTGCTGTTTTTCCACAGAACCATCGGAAACACTCCCATGGAGAAACTCCTGTGCGACATGTTCAAAAACTAAATGATCTCATGCAGTCATCTAATTTCTCCCTAATTGGATTCAATATTTGCTTTTTTTCTTCTGTATAAATATTTAATAATTATGCATGCTGTTATTTTTGTAAATGTCCTTTTATTGTTGGGTAATTGCTTCCATATTGGGTCGTTCTGGATGATAAAAATCCAGCTCATCCTCTGTCAGTTTTTATCATATTTAGAGGCTGATTTGTTTCTGAAAAAAAAACCCTTGTTTTTCTGGAAATGTGACCCAGATCTTTTATCGTTTGTTCATAGATGAACTGTTTATATCTTTTGTCACTAATGGGAATCCCTTGTTTGTGTTTTTGTGTGTTGATAAAGTGTAAAGAACTCTAATAAGTTTGATCCTTTATTTCGTCACTCCACATTATGGCGAATTAAAAGTGAGTTATTCAAAGACGCTAAGCAACAGCGCCCTCTGCGGTCTGGATACAATAAAACCTCGAAAATAAAATGATAAATTACAGCAGTTTCCGCTAACTCAAATTAAATACTTTTAAGAACATTGTGACTATAATTTAAGACCTATATCGCCACAGAAATGAACAAACTTCGTCCCGCTAACTGGCGATAAATTTGCACTTACTCGTGACGCAGTAAAGCTAGGTGCTAGCTACGTAGCTAGATTCTTTGCTAGTTAGTAGCTGGCTAATTAGCATTTTTGCTAGACTCGAGACGGCTTTTTACTTCAACTGTCACGACTCTTTTTTTTTAGTTTAACTTTTAACTTTATTGCTAGAATTATTATTGACAGATTTGTACAAACAACAAGGCAGTAATACAAATATTTATTCAAATAGAAATCAGAAATTAGAAACAGGAGCAGAACGGACAATAAACTAAAAAGAAAGGAGAAAGTACATTTTAAAAACACTGAAAACGGGATGTATTCGGACTGCAAAATTGCTAAATTATGTTGTACAATAATGTTGAGAAGTCTCTTAGCATTAGGGTTCATCATTACTTTAATGGTCTTTACATAGCATGGAAAAGCAATGAGAAAAACACAACACCTAAGACATTTTAATACACTTTTATTTGTGTATGATTTTACAAGAATTAGTAACAGAGTTCACAAAAAGGGAGTTTATTTTTTGCAGTTGAGGGAAAGACAAAAAAAAAAAGTCTTTCTGACAGAATTTTCCCAACTGAGAAATAAATAAGTACTTAGTTATAACCATTTAAAAGCATTCTTGCCAAAAAGCATTAGAGAACTTAATGAAAGAATAAAAGGTCTGCTTCAACACCATCATTGCAGTAAAAACAACAGTTGGTTTCAAAATAAAATGCTGGCACAAATAGTCATTGGAAGGATACATATTATTACATATCCTGCTGAAGGAAAAGTCCAGCAAGAGAAAAACCCTTAGAATATACAACATTAAATAGTCCCGTCAAGATATAATTTAAGAACTATGATTAATGTATTAAAAGTCAATTTACTTAAAAAGATCATTTAAGACATTTGAAGGGCTAAATGTTAGATATATGAATTTAAGACTTCTTAAGGATGCATGAACACTCTGAACCATTGCTTTATCTCTTTATAACGAGGGGAGATACAATCAGATTGACATCCTTTCTGATTTACTGCAGTACATTCCTGGTCCTGACCGGCATGGATAATAAGTTCTGTTTGCCTATTTTGAGAGTTCATTATGGATGACAGGCGTTTAGAGAAGAAACAGAAGTCATTTTCCAAGTCCCACTAACAATATCCAAACTGAAAGTTACTACATCTCTAACTTATTGGACAATTACATCTAAAACATTCCCAACTTTTTCCTTAAACATTTTCTTTTCTGGTCTCTTTTCTTTTTTGCTTTGATGTTGTGTTTTGATTCTTTATTGTCTTCAAAGATGCATGCATATTAAGGACTTTGGAAGAGAAAAATGGCCCACAGTACCACAGATACCCCACCAGATAGGACATTTTCCACATGTTGCAAGTGAAATAATCTGCCAATGTAACTAATACTTTGAAAAAAATCAATATTAAAGCATTACTAACTTGAAACAAGCTAACATATCTTTCTGAAATGTTACCTGTAAGTTAGTTTTGTCTCATTTCAAGTGTACTAAGATATTTAGACTAAAAGACAAAAAATATTAGGTAATAATTTGTAATGTTATGTAGTAATATTTTGTGTTTTGCAGTGTATTCCAACATGCTCAATTTAAGACTTCCAACAATGGACACATGTTGGAAGGTTAATTAATTTGAAAATTTGAAAGCAGTCTATATGATGGTCTGAAATTCTTCCACTAAACTAAATTATAACAACTTTAAAAATCAATCAAATAATTTTTAAAATACATGCATGGATAAATATTTATATATTTATTTGTCGTTTTAAATACATAACCTTTAAAATAAGTGAGAATCCTTTTCACTGTGGTTTACAGTAGTTTAAACTTGAAAAGAGTGAATTTTAATTTCATATCATGTCCTACAGAAACAGCCTGGTTGCAAAGTGACCGAAGTGACGGCTGACGTACTTCAGCTAAATGTCAGCTTGATAAGAACCGCCACTCACTTTTCCTTCTTCTTCTTCAAACAGAATGAGGCATTCAGATATGAGAACAAACATGTTTTCAACTCAGAGCTGAGAGGAAAAATCTGAGGGGAAAAATCTTCGTTTTCCACTCTGAAACTCAAAAGCATAAATGAAAAATTTGCAGTTAATGAGTCCAAAAGTGTAATTAAAATCTAATTCAGGACAGGAAGTTGCCTCCAGTGGATAAACTGCAGCTTTTTTTTTATTGAAATAGTTGCAGCTGAGTGTCATAAATCCCCTAGCAGGTGATTAAAAACTGATTGGTCACATGAATGAGCTCATGCACTGAGACTGGGAGGCATAAAACTCTTTTTAAAGGTTTGTTATAAAGCACCAAAATCTCCCACATAGCTCCTCTAACTTTACAATGCAAAAACACAAAAACTAGTTACTAGAGGTAATATCTTGAAATCAGATAAAACTAACTTACAAGTAACTTTTCAGCAAGATATAAGAGCTTATTTTAAGTCAATAATTTCTTAATATATGGAAAAAAGTATCAGTGTGACAGGCAGATTATTTCACTTATAACATGGAAAAACATTCATGTTACAAGTGAAATAATCTGCCAGTGGAACTAGAAGTTTTTCTGAGATTTGAAGGAATTATTTACTTCAAACAAGCTCCTGCCGGTTGCCGAAAAACTACTTGTAAGTTATTTTTGTGTTACTTAAAGTGTACTAAGATATTCACACTGGAAACTAGAGCAAAATTACTTGGTGTGATTGTCTGTTTTTGCTGTATAATTTCTTTCAGAGTCTGTTTTTTTTTTTTGCAGAAAGTTTAACTGAAGAAAAGCTGTAACTCACGTGTCCATGCTCTAATTTTGACCTTTCCTCAGCTTGACTCAGACAAAGCCTCCCTTTGTTTAATAAGGGGTTTTCACCTTATTATAGGATTAGTTTCTTAAGCAACAGGCAGTAAGTAAATATTTTTTGCTGCCGAGTTGCAGAAAAACCTGCATGGCATAACATCATCATCCGGACAAGAAATTACTCAATCTGGTGTTTCAAGATGAAAACAGACAAAAGAATGAGTAATAATAATGTCGCATTTCACATACATATGAAATAAATGGAATCAAATGAAGAACAATCTTTTATTCATTCATCGGTATACACGGAATCAGTTTAAATGATCCATTTATCTCTGAAATTACTGGTAGATGTTAGGGTATCCCTACCCGTTCCCCTTCTCGCCTCTGGGGGCGCTGCACCAAGAATCACTGAAGGAAACGACAGGAAAGCCAATGAAGAAGACACAGAGCAAAAACTACCTTCTTCAAAGAAATTTAAACACAAACGGAGTGACATCGGATTTTAGCGGTTGTGGGATTTCTCTTTTTTCTTTGGTGAAAGACCACGAGTCATTTCTCCCGCTAGCGCCGCGCTAGCTTAGCGCGTTTGTTCTGGTTGTATTTACCCAGAATGCCCTGCGCTGTAGTTTCTGTATTTGGAGCGGTCTTTAATGACAAATAGAAATAGTGTATTTGAGTTGTTGCCTTTAAACACAAGTAGAAATCACCCACAAGAGGTTTTAAAACAACAATATCATCTTTTAAAAAAATAATCTTCACACTTAAATAGAGCTGAAATGATTATTTGTGATCAATCTTGATAAATCGATTGTTAAAATAATGGTCAACTACTTCTGTAATGAATTAATCGTTAACTAGAGAAGACAGTCGGAAAAGAGGTAATTAGCTGAAACCCCCAACATATTTAGAGCAGTAAATAAACCATAACTGAACAAAACAGATAAAGAAGATAAATATGTTCTTCCCAAACCTGTTTCAAATTCACTAAAATAATCTTGTATTTTTCCATTTTAGGCAATAAAATGTTTATTTTTATTTTAAAAAGGAATTGAATTATTTGTTTTTACTTTTACTGTATTCATAAGATTGTATGAAAAGGTTAAAGTTGTATGAAAATTCTACAAAATGTGTAATTTTTTATTTGATTAGTGATGAGAATAATCAACAGAATAATCGATTACTGAAATAATTATTTTTGAAAGAGGAATAAATAAAAAATACCTTCATTATTCTGACATTTAGTAATTTGACATACATTTTTTAATCCCAACCAGCCCAAAACAGGAAGAGTTTAGAAATATATAATGAATGTAAGTATCTGATGAAAATAAACTGAATTATTTTAGTTCTCAGCTCCTTTGATGAAAGTTTTATGATTAATTATAAAAACATTAGTTTGTTTGAAAAGTGACAAGTAGTTTTATTGTATTTTCCCAAGTAGAAACTTTTGTCCTAAAGCTAAAATGTGTTATTTTGCACTTTAAAATATTCAGTATTTAGCTAAAGTGACTGGTATTTGAGGTATTTCAGAGAAAACAAATGAAAATAATTTTTCTTCTTCTTCTCTGTTTCTGTTCATTTAAATCTTGCTTGTTTTGCCCTCCCTTTCTTCCTGCTGTTAATCTGTTGCATTGATCTCCTAGTCGCACTGGGCTGTATCAGGCGCACAAGCCAAACTTTTCTCAGGCACGTTTCACCACCAGCAGGGTTTGTTCTGAGGGGAAAAATCTTCGTTTTCCACTCTTCTCCTGTTTGCTTCCAGTCAAACAGCCGAGATGAACCAGAGCAAGCCGGAGGTCGAGCCTTTTCAGTATTCCTACTACGACTACGCCGACTGGTACTCCAACCCAGAGCCGACCAAACCCCCGAAGGAGTGAGGAGGAAAACTTTGAGGCACAGTTAATATTTTCAGACATTTGCTGTTTATAATGTAATCCCCCCTTTTCTCTCAGAGTCATTTTACCTTGTGACCCGACTGCAGATGAGAAATACTTCCACATATGCATCCTGTCAATATCTGTAAGTACATGCAGGAAACATTAATACAAGTTAAGGGGAACTGGACAGAAACTGCTAATTAATGTAAAGCTGCAATTTTATTATATTTGAGCTGATGTAGAGAGGTTTAGCTTTACTCTTTTAACTGGAAATTCAATTAGTGATTATTTTAGTTATTGATTAATCTATCATTGTGATGATTAATCGATTAATCAGATAAAACATGGCAGATTTTTTATTTATGACTTTGCAAAGCAGTATAGAAATACATTTTTAAAAAATTAAAGAAGAAAAACATTTTATTGTCTAAAATGTAACAACAGCATTGTTTTAGTGAACGCTTTATCATTTATAGCAAAGGATGCCTCTAACATGTAAAAAACTCATCCTTTCTGCTTGAATCAACATCAAAACGGTGTAGCACTGATTTGATTGTTATAGTTTGGGTTAAGCAATGAATAATTGGATAGCAAAATTAGTTGATTAATCTGATTAACTGTTTCAGCCCATATCACATCATTTTGGATGTAAAACTTTAGGAGTTTTTTTATCATCTTAAATGCATCATCTATATATTTTGTATATTTTGGCTTAATTGCTAGTCTGATTATGATGTTTTTGCAGCAATTAGTTATTTTTTTATCTGTATACTCCTGTTAGCAATTAATCAATCGTTAAATTAGTTGATCGTGATTAATCCGATTAATCATTTCAGCAGTACTTACATCATTTTGAACATAAAACTTTAGGAGTTTGTTTTCCATCTTAAATTCAATTTGTACATGTTTTTTTGTATAGTTTTTCTCTTGTTATTATGAGTGTCTTGTTCTTACAGGAATTGGCTTTTGTTTTGAGTCTGTACGCTCCTGTTAACAATTCATCAATCGTTAAATTAGTTGATCACGATTAATCTCACAATCGTTTCAGCCCTGATAGCATTTTTGCTGTAAAACTTTGTGAGTCAAACCTTTTAGTTTATAATGATTCTTGTTCTTTGACTGCATTTGTTTACAAGTGAATCATTTAAAAACTCGGTCAGATAACATTTTGTTCTACAGACCTGACCTTGTTTTTTTCTCAGTAATTGATGTAAACTTCTGCAGAAGGAGTTTTTCTACTCTCCAGACATAATGAGAAACTTTGGCCTGAAAAGGGTTTTTTTTCTCCAAAGCAAACTTTCTCTTTCAGTCAAGGTTCATTATTTGTCATGCAGCCACAAATTAGTGCATAATTGTGAAGTTGAAGGACAGTGATATGAAATTATGTACAAATAAGAGTCTAAAAAGCAGAGCATACCTTTGTATTAAGCAACCTTTACCCTGTTACAACAAAAACAAATGTTTGCACTACCAGTTACCTTCAGGAATTGCCTAATTGGCTGCTCAGTAAAGGCCTCAGAGGTTTGAGAGCGCAATAATGAGCAAACATCACCGACACCAATGAACACATCAGACAGGAAGACAGTTCTGGAGAAGTTTAAACTAGGATTAGGTTATGAAAGCATTAAATATCTCACAGACATTTGGAGGAAGGTGATATGGTTGAATGAGACTAGAATTGAAATATTTGATTAAATACAAAATGCTAAAGAGGAAACCTAATACCAAACACAGTTCCAATCCTGAAACATGGAGGAAACTGGGAAATGGATGAAACTCAATAAAAGACAGAAGAAAAACCATTAGAGGTTAATAAATATCTTCAAAGATGGGCAAAACGACTGCCTACCCACAGAACAATGAGCCGGATGTTTTCCTCCCTCCTGATGGTCTGGTAGACTCGGTTCGATATGGAACCAAAGCTGCAACATTTGTTACATTTTCAGCTGCTGCGGTTCTCTTTCTCACTGCACTCAGTGAAATGATTCAATCTAATTTAAAAACCTGTTCCCCCCCTCGCCTGTGGGGGCGCTGCACCAAGAACCACTGAAGACAAACCTCAGAAAAAGACACGAACACCATATGCGGAACACAACTTCCTTCTTCACAAAATTTAAACAAAAATGTAGCAGCTTCAAATTAGTGATTGTAGGATTTTTCTTTTGTCTTTGATAAAAACCAAGAGCTATTCCTAATGCTAGCGCAAAGTTGACATGTTTGTTTTGGTTGTATTTACTCACTTCCTGCTTTTGGAGCGGTTCACACCTGCCCATACAAACAGAACTTTGTAGGCAAACGGACTATCGAAGCCATAGTTTTCAGATTTTTATTTGGAAATAAATCTCTTTATTTCTGCGCATGACGTGGAATTAAATACAGTTTTTATATCACAATAATGTGGCATGTTTTCCTCTTTGCCTTTAGTTTGTGATGATGCTAATCCTGGCAGCTCTCACCCGGAAAAACAAACTGTGCCAGGGGTTCGCACGAGGTTCATCCAGCATTTTCAGGTGAATATAAGAACATATGGAATAAAATAGCTGTTTTTTAAAGTTAAGATTGTGTAACAGTTCTGTGCATATTTTTGCTTTAGTCCAGCCAACTTCCTGGACCAGACCCAGCAGAAGGGCCTGGTCATGGCTGTGTTTGGTCTGGTCTTCAGTAAGCTGGCCATGCTGATGATCGCTCCGGATCCGCTGCCCTTCATCAAAGACACGCCGGCAAACATCAAAGGTGTCGTCAGATCAGACAGAAACTACATTTTTAATCATTTAAATCACACAATGACATTTTTCACTTTTTTTTTTTTTTTTGCAGAGTACATGAAGATAATTGCCATCTTCTACTATCCGGTCCTGTACTATCCTCTGCTGGTCTGCGGCACGCTGCAGCGCAACGCGAGTTACGTGTTTGGGACGCTGCTGTCCTTTACTCACTTTGGGGTCCTGGTATGGCAGAAGTTTGACTGTCCAAAGACGCCAGAGGTGAAGCAACCCATAATACACAACCCTCATGTTTAGGAGGGTCCTATGCACTGCAAAAATAAAATATTACCAATTAATGTTGGTCTAGTTTCTAGTGAAAATATCTTAGTACGCCTACTTTCAGTAGGATATAAGAACTTGTTTTAGTAATAATTCCTCAATATTGATGAAGTTCTCGCTCTACTGGCAGATTATTTCACTTATGACAAGAACTGTGTAAAGTGCATTTTGCATCAAACACCACTCTGTTCTACAACAGCATATTGAGGCCATTGTACATAAAAAAGGAAGAGTCACTTTTTGGAAAACACTTGGACATTTTTAGATTATTCTCAGAAATTTTCTAAAGAAAAAAAAACATCAAAATTTCTAAGTTTTAAAAAAGGAACTTTTTCGACTTTTGAAACTCTAGAAGTTTCTGTGTTTTTTCACTCACAAATTTCTAAAATTAATTAATTTAAATATTCCTGAGTTCTGTTTTTTTTGTTTTTTTTAAGGAAATTTTCAGCGTGACACAATTAAAAAAAAAATTCTTACGTTTTTGGCAGAACTTTACTCGTCTTAATTTTTCTTCCCAAATATGCCGTCGTACTGCAGAAGATGATTAGCGCCACAGAAGAAACACTGACATTTTCTCTCAATTCTGACTGTTTTCTCAGCATTTTGACTTTAATTTCAGGACGCTGATTTTTTATTTCATAAGATTAAATTCCGAATTCTGAGAAAAGAATTCAGATTTTTTTTTAAATTAGTGGCCTTAATCTTTTTCCGTAGCCTTGAGAAGAATTTGTGGTGAATATTTAGTTAGAAATATGTTTGTTTCTTTTAATTTTGCAGATCTATAAGCACTACGCCCTCCTTGCCAGTCTGCCCCAGCTGGCCTGCCTGGCGTATCTCTGTATTCAGTTTCCTGTGCTGTTTGTGAAAGGACCAACGACCGACGAGGTGAGGATTCAAATTTATTAGTAATTAAGTTTTTCTTGTAAAGATGAGAAATACAGGATTTTACTTACTATAAATGTATGAAACCACATCAGTTTGAACACTTGTCTGTTAGATAATTGCTGCTGCAAAGTAAGAAGGAAGAATTGCCGCTATATTAAAAAAGAATAAAAATATTGATCAGAAGGGTAAAAACTGATGTCACAACAAACTGTTCTTGCTTGTAGGATCTTGACAGCAGCTACTACACCGACTATGTCAAGTTACTCCTCAAGAAAAAGTCTTCAACCGTTTGGTGAGTGGAGAAAAAACTGAGACTTAGTTTGATAGGTTTAATAAAACATCTGAAGAAAACACAAAAGATCAAATGTTCAGTATTTTGGTTGCATGATGTTCCACTATATCATAAAGATTTTAAGTTTTCGCAGTTTAAAATATATTTTAATAAATAGCTGCAAATTTATTTCAGGATAAAAACTTTGTATGTATTTTTGTCTAGTTTCTGCTGCTGATATCTTAGTATACTTGAAAAAAGACTAAACTAACTTACAATTCACTTTTCAGCAGGATTAATAATAATTCCTTAATTCTGGAACAAACATAATAACTTGTAATATTGGAAAATGTTTTGTTCCACTGGGAGATTATGTCACTTATAGCTGGTAATTTTTCATCAAGATAAAGGAATTATTTACCTAAAACAAGCTCCTATGTCTTGCTGTACAGTTGTAATTTTTTATTACAAATGTAATATATGGAGGACCAAAACTGACATAATTAAAAATAAAAGCAGAAATATATGCTTTTTGTTTTTTCTTTTTTTCATACAAAAATTGTTTCTCCTTTTCCTTATACACACATTTTTGCTTATATAAGGAATCTATAAAATAGATTAGAGGTATTAATATTCAAAATAACAAAAATAAATGCATTTCTGCTTTTATTTTTAATTATGTCAGCATTGGTCCTCCATACTGTGATATTTGCATTAGAAACTAGACCAAAAATACTTGGTGAGATTTTGTGTTTTTCAGTGAAAATACTAAATGTTAATAATGTACAGCAGCTCTTCAGAAACAGACAAACCGTCACTGGTGGAGAGAATACTGGAGGTGCCAAAGAGTTACATTTATTTACCTGAAAAAGGTGAGATTATTCACACTGATAGATATTTTATTTAACACCATAAACTTTAAGATCCAATAATAATTTTCTGTTTTACCTCCAGTGTTCCAGTTCCCAGTGAAGCTGGCTGTGTTGTCTTTTGTTACCTGCGTGGCCATCTATCACGTACGCCTCTATGATTTAACCTTTCTGCCTGTTTAGTTGGTGAACATATGAGGAAGTGTTTTTCTCTTCATAGACTGCACTGCTGTTGGTTGTCCTGGTGGTTCCAACTCTACACATCGTCCACGCAGGAATAGATGAAAACATCGCCTTCCTGTTGCTGGGATTTGGGATTATTCTGTCCGACGACAGGATGGAGGTCGTCAGAATCGTGACTTTCTACACCTGGTTGCTGGAAGGTTGGCGGAGAAAATTATTATGTTGTATTTTCAAAAACCTTCTAAGTCTAGCTTTTTAAAACAAGAGTTTTGTTTTGTGTCTCTTTGTAACAGTGTGCTACCTCTGTGCCATGACGCTGTCTTGTTTGGTCAGTCTCGTAATGCTAATGAGGTCCATGGTTCTTCACAGGTGGAAAAATATTTCTCTTTGGAAACATTTTCAGCTCATAACATGCCTTAGTTTCATATCTGAATCTTATTAATCTGTAACTTAATCTCAGATCGAACCTGAAAGGACTGTATAAAGGAGACGCGTATAAGAACTACAACACCCAGAAGACCATCAGTCCGTCCAGATCTGGAGTTTTCTGCTGGATGGGTTTAACCGGATATCAAGCTGCGATCGTTTGCCTCGGTGATTATTAAATATTATCAAATAAATTAGGAAAACAGAACATATTTGAACTTATTGAAGCATAATTCTGGCACATAATCCGTTTAACCTTAAACAACAACATGTCAATAATAAACAACGTCCTCAAGCTGAAATTAATGTAGGAAATATAAATATATATTGTTTAATCCATGTTGGTTTATTTACTTTATCTATTTACCTTATCCTAGACACTCTAGACTTCTTTTTAAGGTTTTATGCTAATGTTATTGTACACTTCTACTACGTATTAGCATAAATGCTAGCAATGTTAGCTTCCTTAACTTGCATCTGTTAATGTTATAGCTGTACTTTGGATTAAATTATTTCACATTTGGTAAATAAACTCATGTTTATATGCATGTATTCTGTTCTTCAACATAAACAAAGTGCAGCTGCATTGCTAGCAACCACCTTTGCTTAGTTCTGCAGTTTTATACAATTTATTTAGATTAATGGCTTTCTATGAAAATGAGTTCTACTCCTTCACAACTGTGTCCAACTGCAGTTTATTTAAAATATATCACCACTATGCATTTATTCAATCTTTCTCTTCCTTCCTTGTAAATATTTATAAAATAAAAGTGACATATTGCAATGTGTTTCTGAAAATTGAAGCTGATTTTAATTTCTGTCGTGTTGGCAGGGATGGCTATCCAGACCCTTGTGTTTTTCATCTGCTTCTTATTTCTGGTGTTTTTAATCATCATCCCTGTTTTTTATGGCCGCAACATTATCGTTTTTGAAGTTGCTGGGAAATCATGGTGAGTGTGCATCACTAAGATCTTTCCATTTTAAACTGGATCAGAAGATAAATGTACTGATACGTTTTTCATTCTGGTGATTTTTCAGGCCGTTTTGGGTGACAGTCATTCTGGTGACAGTGCTTCAACATGTAACTGCTCAGTTTTTCTTTGTCAAAAAGGATTCTGGTACTAGAGATTTAAAAAACAGGTTTGTTTGCTGGGTTCTGCTTAATGCATGTATAGTTATTATAAAGATTTAGAAACAATTTATTAAGTTAACAAAATAATCTGCAAATCATAGCAAACATATTTAATTTTTCAATAAACTTTATGAAATTAAGCCTTTAATTTTGTAATAATGTTAAAAAAAAACAAGACAAGTTTTTTTGTACACATTAAGACTCATATTATGAGATTTACTTACAAATAATGCATTATTTGCAAAGAAAAAAGCAGTCAATACAATATTATGTAAAAAATAAACATCTAAAAGCTGGTAAACTTCTAAAAGATAATATTGGTTATTATAAGAAAACCTTATAATTATAAATAGCATTTATTCAAATATATGTTTTAAAGTGCTAAACCTGGGAGAGCATTTAGATATTTAATAAACTGTCTGAAAATGGCGCCTTGAGGAATCTCACTCGGGTTTGTTTTCTCTCAAAATTAATAATTTATTCCAATTTTTCCACCTATTTTAGAATTTCATTAATTCAAAAATATGTTGTTTTCTCAAGAGGACTCAAAACAATTTTGCAGTTTTAGCAAAAAAAATAAAACTTTTGCCAAATTTCTGCAAAACGTTTGGCAAAAATTCTGCCAATTTTCTCAGCAAGATTCAAAACAATGTTGCACAATTAGCAAAATATTCAGCAAAATTTTTGCCACCTGTTTTTGAATTTCCTCAAATCAAAACTAATTGGTACCAATTTTCTCAGCAGGATTTCAGAGAATGAATAAAAAAACCTATATACCAATTAATTGAAAAAATAAATAAATGTTTTGGTGAATTTCAGAGAGAGCCTCTTCCTCCTGACCTACCTGCTGTTTGTGGTGAACGTCGTTGTGGGTCTGATTGTCGGTATTTGGAGAATTGTGATAACGGCCTTGTTCAACATCGTCCACTTCGGTCGGATTGACATCAGTCTCCTCCATCGCACCGCAGAGTCCCACGATCCAGGTAAACACATTCAAACTCTAATATTTGGATTTTTTTAAAGCTTTGATCTGGAGGTTTTTGGTTTTTTTGACGCCACTCAGCCTACAGATACTACACCCAGTTCCTGAAGGTGGAGGTGAGTCAGTCCCACCCGGTGCTGAAGGCGTTTTGCGGACTCCTGCTGGACATGATGGTTGAGGTCGGCAGAGGACAGAAAACACGAGACGCAGAAGAAGGTAGGAAGACGCTGAGCTACAAACGACTAATGGAAGATTTGGAAAATCTGGATTTTTTCCCACCGATTCGCTCCTTGGATTTGTTCAGAGTGACATCATCATACTTAAGGCAGCCATCTTGTTTGACAAACATTATTTACAGTTTCTATTTATTTAGGAACCAGGTTAACTTTAACTTTCAAACTATAATTTTTAATTTTTTATATTATAATATTTCAATAAATCAGTCATTATAATATGAGACTACAATCATTTTACGGTAAAATCAAAACAAAGTGAGAATAAAAGTCACACTATCAGGAGAATGAAGTAATAATTTTATAAAAACTCCTTCACAACAAAATCTATATTTCTTTTTATTTGGGAACTAAATATTTAGTTACAAAATAAATATTTAATTTGGAGCTAAAGTTATACTTCATAAAGTTATGAAGTAAAATGTTATGAAGTTATACTACATAAAATTAAGGGTAACTTTATTTTATGTAAACTTCATAAGATGAAGGTACAACTTTATTTTATGAAATTAGAATTGTCTATTTCGAAAGAACCACTTGCACTGATCTCAGTAACTAGAAGCTTTTTTCCTATTGAAACGACTTTCTTGTAATTTAAAAATATTCTTCTGTTAAAATTACATCTTTATTTTGCGAATCAAAACTCTTTTTGATAAATGGTTTTTATTAAAAAACATTTAGTTTTTAGCTTGCATTTTTGTGATTGTATAATTTTTTTGCAGTATTTTTCTGTTGGATTGGTGTTTGTGTGTTTTGGATTTTCTGTTATTCATGTGTTTTTGCAGCGTTTGGCCTTTTGCCACCATAGTTGCCTATTAAATCTGCACAATGAACTAAATGAGGAACTATTTTGTACTAATGTCCCAGAGAAAAAGTCTATAAAGTTTTGACCTGTATGTCAAAACGTTTTGACCTGACCAGCTCCTCCTTGGTGCTTTCAGGAGGCCCTGAGAACCGACCCAACAAGGTGGCAAGCGGTGGGAGGATTCGCACTCGCTGGCAGCTGCTGTACACGCTGGTGAACAACCCGTCCCTGCTGGGCTCCAGGAAACACTTCCAGACCCTGCAGACGTCCGAGAGCGTCCCAAACGGCACGCCCACCCGCAGCTCCAAGAAGGAGGCGGAAAAGGCGGAAGCCGAGGCCGCCCCATCCTCTGAGGGCGCGTCGAGTCAAAATGAAACTGAATGAGAGCGCTAGCATGTGCAACAGTTTGCAAAGTTACACAGTAAAAAATGAACAGCAAGAGTTTGGTTTATTTAACCCGGATCATTTTCCGGTATATTTTCACCAAGTTAGACATTTTACTGATATCAGAGTTCAAAATTAAACACTTAATTCACTAAATTAAATGCTTAGTTATCAAATAAATATTTAATTTAGAGCTCAATTTAATATTTAGTTCTTAAACTAAATATTTAGTTGTAAACTAAATTTTTTTTCCAACAAAACATTAAATTTCCAAAATAAGGGTTTAATTTTCAAACTAAAATAAATATTTAATTTGAAGCTAAATATTTTACTTACAAGCAAAATATTTAGTTCACAAATAAATATTTATTTTTCTAACTTAGTATTTAGTTTCTAACTCAATAAAAATATTTATTTCCTGTACTAAAAATTTAATTTGGAACTAAATATTTAATTTGAATGTTTAGCAAACTATAATAATATATAATATTCCAAACTAAATATTTAGCTTGTTAATTAAATATTTAGTTAGGAGCTTTGACATTTATAAATGCATGAATGTCATAGTGAAAATATGAATATGAACATATTTTCTCCTCTGACAGGTTAAATAAGCCAAGTAAACTTTTCACTGTGAAACGTTACAAACGACACCCCATACAACAGAGTCTGCAGTTTCCCCCAATTAAAATAAATTGCAATGCACTGAATGGAGAGCTAGACGGTTATAAAATCAGATTTGTTACACAGGAATTAATGAGGAACAAGTTTTGGGCTAACTGCCTTTATTTTATACAAATTCCCTTTCTCATTCTGTCTGGTCCTCGTTGTAAGATGTTATCAGTACAATCACCATGCTATAGTCACTGTATCTGCTGTAAAAACTGTTTTAGGCTCTAAACTTTACAGGAACCAGGGCCTCCTACTAATGTTGCTTTGACATCACGTGCCTGATTTTCGCCCGGACCTATTTAGATGTAACACACCAACGTACTGAAGTTTGTGCGTTCATAAAAGAAAGTAAGTGTTGTTTTAAAGTTTATTTTAGTGCTAAATACGTATTGTGTTGTCTATGAGTCGAACCACTGATAGTTATGATTGTTGACTGTACAAAAGCCAATTAGCATAATGTTGCTAACGCTAACGTTCGTGTTTTGGCCGTTGGCATCGTTTATATATTACATTGGTGCAGTACTGCTGAATAAATACGGCAAATTCTGTATTTTTGTTTATTGATTCTCTGAAAGCGATAATTCACACAAAAAAGTTTCTTTGTATATTTTCTGTTTACAGACCACACACGTGTGAGATATCCTCACTTTTGTTCAGAAAAAGAAATAAATGAAATTGGTTATTGTGAAAATCCTACACTCTAATAGGACTTAACATTATCATGTTAATTTACACAGAATATTATACAGTGGAAATAATATGATTTTTAGATTTAGGAAGTGTTTTATACAAGCTTACCTTGTGTACACACTTATTCACAGATGTATCAACAAACTCTGGCTCGTTTGCCTAGAAAGTCCGATTTGTTCGTAACTGAACTCAAATGTGAACCTATGTCAGGTCGAAACGAACCGAATGCAAACGTTAACGCCAAACGGACCGGAGGTCGCTCTAAAAGCAGGAAGCAGACAATGGCGCAAGGCATTTTGGGTAAATGGAACAAAACAAACACGTTTGCAGGAGAAGTGGTCTTTTACCAAGGACAAAAGAGAAATTCAACATCCCCTAAACTCTGACGCCTCTCCATTTTTATTGACATACGTCTTACTAGTAAAAGATGAGGAGTTGCTGAGGTAAATAGGTTTGTTTGGTTTGACTCAGTGCTGTGTGAAAGCGAACTACACCATCGGAAAATGTAACATTTTGCCCCAGTTGAATTGCGTTTAAAGTGAAGACACCATTAACCTCAAAGTTACCTGGATCTGGTTTCTCTCTCCTCCTTCCACTCGTTTGGCTAGAAGAGAGCATCAATCAGGTTTGATCTCTGTGAAGTTGAAACAGGGAGAGAGAAATGGCTGCAATGCTGAGGCAGTTTCTTGTTTTCCCCCTGGAGACAGTTGAAGACCTTTGTTCTGGAAACGGGCACGTAATCGTGGCAAGGCAGTGAATCCACATCTGCCAGTCATTTAAAATGTCAGCACATTTAAATGTGACCTGCTATGCTATCTTGAACAGGTTATTGGTCTGTGGTCTATACAAAACATGTTCTTTACAATTTCTCCACAGAATCATTCTTAGGTAATGAGATTTTAGTCAGAATGAGCTGTTTTAGGGACTCCTGTCACTTTATATACAAATAAGCTGTTTAACTCAACATTTACAATTCTACAACCGTATATCTTTGAAAAGCAAAAGTAGAGCCTCCTACCCAACCAACAAGATGCAGCAAGTTGTGTGTTTTATTGTAAGTCAACAGTCCAAACATGCTGGAGCTCAGCTCGGGTTGCTAGGTAACCGGGCTGGACGTGGTTGATGTTGCTAGGTAACCGGGCTGAACGTGGCTGAGGTTACTAGGTAACGGTGCAGCAGGAGGTTTTTGAAACGGCCCATTTTCCAAATGCCAAAAAAATGTCTGGTTGTTTTTCTTTCTTTCTTTTTCAAGTGCTTGGGTTGTTTTTAGAAGCAGCAGAGACCACAATGGAAGTATAAAAACATGCAACATGTGAATTCTGCAAACAGACAAATGAATAACAGCAAGCTGAGGCTGAAATTTATCTTCAGCTGGATCACGTTTTGTGCCTCTAACCGCTCTGAGAGGCTAGTTTTTAACTCCATATTGATGTTCACCACAGTCGGGCTGACGGTGCTAATCAATATTAGCATCTGTGTCAGCAGAGAGAGGTCGATCGTAGGCTAACAGCTTACAGCAGCTGGACTCTCATTAGTGCTCAGTTCCCTGATGATTTGCAGACTATCAAGATTTTTTTATTTTTTATTTGACCATCTTTGTTTGCCTCTGAACTAAAATCATTCAAATTCTGTTTTGTTTGTTAAACTAAAGTAATATTTTCATCTTTCTTACGTTCAAATTTCACGAAATAGCCCACAGATATATAAAGTTTTGTCTTTATATAGTTTATTCTCCAGCATTTGTAGAAAAAACAGCCACACATTTCAATAAGAACAGTTGAACAACTATTAGTTATCCCACTTTTTACATTTTATTGAGGCACATGGAGGGTTAAATGGGAATGTATGAAAACAGACAACTTCCTTTATCACTTGAGTTAAACAGACAAGAGGCACAGAAATAAAGTTGAATTTTGAGTGGAAAACATTGAAGACAGGCAGCATGCAGGGCCTCTAAAACAGCAGCCCACTGGGGAAGCACCCAGAACACATAATTAGATAATACTGAAGTGTTTGTACACATTTCTACCAACAGCAAGTTTACAGTTTTTTTGTTTATTTTCACAGAACATCCTGACATTAAAACAGGACAAAAAGATTACCTTTAAAGCAGCAGAATTTAGGTTTCTGAGATTTAGCTCCATCCCTAATGAGACAAAAATCACAACAGTAAATTACATGTTTTTCATATTTAGCTGTTTTTTTAAGTGTTATAATTTACTCTAAGACCAAAACATTTTTCACTTTTTCCATCCTGACCCCAGAGAGCTGATTACTAGTTTCACTTGTTACACAGGTAAAATCTTGTTATAAGAGAAATAATATTAAGGAATTATTTATGTAGAAAAAGCTCTTATGTTTGGTGAAAAGTACATTATAAGTTTATTTTGTCTTATTTCAATTTCACTAAGATATCTGCAGCAAAAACTAGACCAAAAATAATTGGTAAGATTTTGTGTTTTTGCAGTTTTATTCATATTTAGTTAAGATTTTGTGACAGAACAACATAGAATGGAGCATAATTCTAAAACTAAATATTTAAAAACATGTTAATTTATTTTTAGTCTCTTTACTCTGATACCTTATTAAATGTTGTGTAACCCACAGCAAAATACCATATATAAGAAAAACAACACATCACATAGAATACTCTGAATACACCATAGAACACGGCAGTGGCAGCATCATGCTTTGAGGATGTTTTCCGTCAGCAGGTACAGGCTGGCCAACCAGAGAACGACGAGAGGACAACAATCAAAGCAGTAGTGAGATGGTTTAGATAAAGGCATTTGGATGTATCAGAATGGCCTAGTCAAAGTAGAGAACCAATAGAGCAAAATATGATGAAAAAGACCTTGTATAAAGCGCTGACTTAGGAAGGCTGATACTGTATGCATGCTGTAGATTTTTATTTGAGAGAAAGAGAAAAAAAACATCTTCCAATTCACATTTCCTTACTGGTCAGTCTATCTCCTAAAAACCCATTAAACAACATTTTAATATTATTAATACTTTTGCAAATTTAATTATTGAAAAGAAGAATTTTCAGTCCCTTCCCTCTCAGAATAAATATTATGTTGTTTTGTGCAAAGAGAGCACAAAACATGTACAAACAAATTTTGTTTATAAAGACATTACATTTGAAGTGACAGTGTTTTTTTTCTTGATATCCATAAAAACACAGAATGCTTTAAAAAATAGAAAATGAGGGAGATTTTCAGTGTTTCTACAGACGACAGTGAAATTATCTCTAAAGCTGTTTGTTGAGTCTGTTGATATTCTGGCTGCATCATTTCTCATCAGACATGAAAGCGGCTTCAGCATTTCAGTCAAATCAATTAAAAAAAAGACAGACATTGACTGCTTTGATTCTGTGGTGCAACAGTTATCTTGAAAATCATACAGCTTGTTTATTTTGTTCTAGGAATGCAAATTTTTAAATAATGAGTTCCAGATGGCCGACCGGCTAAATTTTTCATAATATGGTGAACTTAAAAAAAAAGAAGCACGTCGCTATATTTGAACTATTTTTGTATCAGCTGTGTTAAATACTGACTGAATAAATAGAAAATTGTGGTTCTCTTACAACAGTGTTTCTCAACCCTGGTCCTCACCGCCCCCTTGTCCTGCATGTTTTAGGTGTTACCCTTCTGCCACACCTGAATTGTATCTCTGGGCTTCTGCAGTACTTGATGGTCATGCAATCATTTGAATCAGCTG